CTCTGAAAAAAACAAATATTTCACGCATCTTTTTTAAATCTATACAAAATTCCTCCAAAAAAAGAAGAAAAAAAGAAAAAAATTGAGGCTTTTGAAAAGCAAAATAAACATTCAATCAGCAAAATATTGTCGACGAATAACTCTTGAAGCATTCAGTTATGCAATTTACTTGCACAGAAATTAGTTTATCTATTAATGCTATAAATGAACAGTTGAGAAGAAAATTGGAAGAAGCAAATAATAAAATGAAAAAAAAAAAGAAAGAAAAATCTAGCACACAGTTTACTTTTGCAAAATAAAATAAGCAACAATAAGTTTCAGTTTTGCTTTTACAAAAGATGTATAATTTTTGAATTATATCAATAAAGCATTTGAATAGATTGTTCTTGTAACTGTGTCACAATCAGGCAATCAGTTTTTAGACCGATTATCTGCTAAATGTCTAAACACTTATAGATGGCTTCAAATGTGGCCAGTAGAAGAAGTAAGTAAGCAAACGTTTTTACTCTCAGACGGCGTGAAATGAAAAAATGATACGGAGCCAAATTGGAAGAGACAGATGGCAATAAATGGTTGGGTAGACGGATGAATCGGTCGGGAATAGACAGATACAGCGGATTTATGAATGCCGGGAAAAAGAAGGGTGTGGGAGAGGTTGCCTGGATGAGTTTTGGTGTTGCTGGAACAAAGCCGGGTTAAAATGTGCACAGTTTGCACATTGTCTTGTCGGTAAAAACGTTAGCAAGGTGGAAAGAAGAAGACGACGATGAAAACGAACACAACGAAGAAGAAGAAGAAAAGGAAGAAGAGACAGAAGGAGAACCGGGAGAAGGGGACGGGGAGAAAAAAAGGGGAGAGAAGGGTATGGGAGAAGAGAAAAAAAAAAAAGAAGACCAAAGCAAAAACCTCAGATTTGAACATTTCAGCTTTTAACCTCGCCTTTTAACTGTGCACAAAAATTTTTTCTGTTTTTTTCAAAAACGTTTTCATCATCTTAGCATTTTTTTTTTTTATCTTCATTTACCTCTTCAAATAGTTTTCAAATTTTTTTTTCTTTGTTGTTATTATTTTGTATAAAAATTAACAGGCAAAGGAAATAAAATTAGCTGAAACGTTATATGAGTCTTGTTCAATTTGTTTTTTAAAAATTTTCTTGAAAAAAAAAGCTATTTTTATTATTTTGTAATCTTTTATGTTTTATTACTCTAAATTTTTGTTAATTCCCTTTAGGTTTTAAAAAAAAAAGTTTCTTTTTGCTTCAACTAGTTGACTATTAAAA